TTCATTTCGGGACCACTTTTCCACCGAAATGCTGTGTGTGTGTGTGCCGGTGTTGTGTGTGTGTGTTTCAGGGCGACTTAATTAGAGAACTTGGTGCGTTTTATTTATGTGTCTTAACGAGTCGTTTATTTAACCCACCCTCGACCCTCGACCCTCGGAATCGATCTCGAGGCACACAAAAACATTTTCCAAAATTTGTTTATTGTTTTTCTTTGGGGTCCTCCGCACTAATTTGGGAAAAGCGCAGAGAGGAGACTCGAAAAACCGAATTGGAATTCCCCAAAAAAAAAAATGTAAAAAGGAAGAGCAGGCCACAGAGAGAATTGTAAGTAATTTGGTGGCTTGATTTAAATAAAATAACAAACAGAATGAACATTTTCCCCGAAAAGCCAAACATAAATCCCCCCATGAACATGGTTTTTTATTAAAGACAGGATATCGGGACCAAGAATATACTATATATATATATATTTATATGCTAATTCGCGGGGCGTTAATTAGAGAACTCTGAAAACAAGTTGTCTTCTTTGGGAAAGTATTTTTAAGCATGTTCTCGTCTGGCTGTGGGTCGGTTTTTTATTTATTTACTTGGCCGCCGCCGTCGGCAGCAAACAATTTGTAATCGTTGACAAGCTAAATGTTGCAGCTGTGGCACGCTGAAAATGCTTGAAAACAAAAGCATTGCAGATGCAAGTTGCAAGTTGTGCCTTAATTGCAGTTTTGCCAGAAAGAGCGGGATCAGGAACAGGCGTGGGCCCACTAAACATGGCCAGCTTTAATCCATTATTCTTGTTTCCATTGTGTGGGTGTCGGGGAAATTCTTGAATTTCCTTCTAAATTCTAAATTAACATACAGAAAAATATCTCAAAAACTTGTCTTATTTTATAAATTATTCCTAGTTTTATCTGTTAGCCTTTACTCAATATATTTTTCTAAATTCTCATTAGGAAATATTTAAATAATATATTACATTTAATTATTTAAATCACAATACAAACTTTCCTTGATTGCTTTGCTTTTAATAAACATATTTCTTTATTCTTTTTTTATATTCTAAATTTTCACAGAATTATTTGATGATTATTTCCCTAGAATTCAAATATTGTTTCATGTGTATAAATCTGATTCTCTGATCGTTAGCCAAATGTAGTTATTAAAGCCAAGAGTCTTCTAGGTGACAGACGAAATATGAAGACAGCCGAAAGCTGAACATCTTGCAACTTAATTACTTAACTTAATTACTATGCCTAGGGGTTTTGGTAATTTCTTTTAGTGTTTTTTGTTTGGGCGGAAGAATGAGGGATTTCTCAGTATTTCTAAGTATTTCTTCCAGCGAAGAAAGTGCCAACAATTTATGAAAGTTTTTCCCCATTTACAACTGTTTTTCATTGAAAATGTTTATAAATATGATGAGCAAATTCTCGGCTAAAAGGAATTGGGTTAAACAGAAGATCTGTGGAATCAAAATGATATAATAAACAAGTTTTAAGTTGTTGAACGAACTTAATCTGTAGGGAGACTTAAGCTTGGAGGAGAAAAGTTTGCTATACTCCTATTTCGAAGCATAATTTTCTTTTCTTTTAATATATAATATATTTATAATCTTTATAATATAATTTCACGATTCAAAACGACTTCTTCATAGACTAAAGTTATATATATCAAAATACTTATAGTCTTCAATACGTTTGCTAGTTAATTGCTGAGCTCTCTTTGTGTTTTATTTAAAACAAATTCACTTTTGACAAATCACAGGGACCTACATAAAACACAACATAGCACAATACAACACCACACCACATCACACACATCACACACACACCACACACAACATGGCCACAAACACCAAAACAATTTTGCGAGGAAATTGTCAAATTGCAGTGCAAAAACGCAAGAGCATCAACCGCAACCACAATCGCAACAACAACGGCAATTCAAAGGCTCCACCCCAGCATCACTTTCCGCACTTTACCCCCCTTCACACACACACACACACACACACCCTTTTGCTACCCCTCCCCCACCCCTTTGTGGCCAGCACGAATTCAATTCACAATTTTCGGTTACCGAAAATCACTGCTAGGCGAACGCAATCAATCATAAAACGATGAAATGTCGACAACGACTAGTACAGAGCGGGGAAAATGGAAAACTCTCAGCTCAGGCAGGGAACATGGACAAGGAAAAGCTCCAGCTCTAGCCCCCCTCCCAAAAAAAAAAAACAGGACGAGGCAATGGCGGCGCTGAGAATCCATCAGGGGGCTATGGAGTTTATGCCAAGTCAAACGTGAACTTAAAATATTTTTTTAAGAATTAAAAGGTTAGACAGAAAATGTGATCCAATCTTAATAGATTTTAAATAGTTATTAGATAGTAAATTGTGTGGAAATCTAATCCTAAATGAATTAGGAAACAAGCCAGCTCTTTGAGTAAACGATAAAGATGCCATCCTGCCACCGCATAAACATATCCTGCGTATGTCCGTTGAGCAAGGAAAAAGCGTAACGTTTGAATTGGCTTTTGGTCGGTTTGCGTTTGCCTTTGGTCCAGAATGTTTTTTTCGGTTGGTTTTTGGCCATAGTAGCCATCGACCATCGACCACAGAGACCATAGAACAGGGCCAAAGCGAACGCTTTTCAGCCATTTATCAGCAGCTTCCTTGCTCCGGAGCTCCGTCTATTTTTGAGCTGCTAAGCTTGGTCAAATCTGCTCCAGAAGTAGAGAAATCCCCAGCAGCAGCAGCACAAAAAAAAAGAGCGTTCTTTTTGGCAGTTAATTAGAGATGCCAAACGGATGATTCCCGTCAAAGGATTTTCATTTATAGCAAGCAGGAAAACTGTTTTAATTTAAATGCAAAATGGGACAAGGATTCAAGTATTTTCGTTGCCCAATCTCTAGGAATATGACTTTAGTTTTGGTGTGGACTACAAGCCAAGTCGAGCTGAACATATTCTCTCCCATCGAGACCGAGACAGATCCGGATATAGATACCTATACCGATTGTCTTCCAAATGAAATATACACCGATTTGGGGACGTGCGAGAGTGTTTTTGGGGGCCACTTATCAAATTTGAACTTAATTACTGGACTCACCTTTCTCGGATAACACGGCAGCAGCAGCAGCAGCAGCAGCAGCAGCCCGGGGTCCGGCTAATGAACGGTTTTATGCATCGCTTTAAGTCGCATTTGATTGAGCTGGATGGGCATTTTGTAATCGTCAAAGTGAAATTTACATGTGAGACCCGAAAGAGAAGCAAATCTCGAAAATCTGGTGGACCAGCCCATAAATCAAGTTGCATTCGCCCGTCGCAGGTCGTAAGTGTGTCATTAAAATTAATTATCTAGCATTTTTAACACCGCGCCGAACCCTTTTTGCTTTGGGCCTCTAGCGGTGGCCCAGCGTTTTTGGTATCTGGCAGTAGCTTGGCAATTAGCCACACGCCGTGCTTTGAGCTCTGCTTTTTCTAAATATTTGCTTAGCTTTTGTTGACGATTCTACAGCGAACGGTTGTCGTTGTCGTATCCACGGCTCTTTTCCTTTCAATACACTGTGAATAAAAGTAGGATAGACTTTAAGATATACAAATTTGGAATTCAATTCAATTGAAGTTTATAGTTTTTTGTAAAACTAGCTATGAAAACCAGATACACTTAAACATAATCAAAGTAAATTGAAGTTCTTATTTCTTAGTTTTTGGGAAAACTAATTAATTTCCGTTTCCTAAGACTCTTTTTTGTAAGTTTCCGGAATGAAATTATTGTTAATTTTCAGGAAGCTTGATTTACTTTTATTTTGAATAAACTTCCCACTTATTTTCGCAGTGTATGAATGCGACAGTCCTGACTGTGCTCAAATATTTGCGCTGACATAACTTTGTCTGCGGCTGGCATGCGCCATGGGCGCGGGCTATAAAGGGGGTCTAGGTCTGGGTCTGGGTCTGGGTCCATCTCCGCCAGAGTCGCTTTGTCTGCCACTGGCCCAGAGCAATGTGCGAAGATAATTATAACATGTGTGCCCAGCACAGCACCGAACTCTGAACTGCCAGTGGAGTTCTAGCTGGCTATGGAGCTGGAGCTGGAGCTCCTGTCGAATGTGCAGACAGTGGGCCCTCGACGATGGACTTGAAGCTTTGTCTAGCCGCAAGCTGCAACATCAGCAGCAGCAGCAGCAGCAGCAACATCCGTGGCCTTTGCCATTGACAGTTGCTGTCCATGTCTCCTTTTGCCCTGAAACCTCAGCCAGAAGATGCCAACTCAGCAGTAGCCACACTGCTAAAAACCCTGGCAATTCTGATTTTAAGTATTTGAATTGATTTTATATGGGTGTAGTTTTTGTGCCAGTGTAGCCCTATATAACCGCAGCAGTCGCCATCGAATGTCAATAGCAAAACTGTTTGCCAGCAGCATAACATGGCAGCAGGCAACAAAGAATTGAGCAAAGAAATCCAGCTCTTTGCTGATCGAATTGGATGGACCAGATGCTACTCTGTGGGGATGAGGAATCAAATATATATACATATACATATATGTTCCAGCAGGACATTTGCTGAAGGTTTGATGAGCAAACGTAGACAAGTTCATGGGACACAAGGTGTTCTAAGCCATCTTAAAAGGCATATATGTTTCCTATGCCAGAAAAAAAGCAACATAATTCCGCTCTTAATCAGAGATAAGTACCTTTTCCTTTCCTAATTAATAAGACTTCCTTAAGACTCAATTTAAGTTAACTTTTCCTCTGTAAAGATCGATTTTCTGAGGGGTATTTCCCCATCTTAGGTGATTAAGTGATTCAAAACAAATCGGTGCATAAATTATCCAGCCAAAACCCAATGGATGCCCAGCCTCTATAGCCGGGGACCTTGGAACCATCTCTTGGCTTGCCATTTATTTCCATTTATCGCGATAAAGCCATCGAAGGCAGCTCTCTGGCCAGCAGCTGTGCATATCCTGTGACATGTCCGCCCCTAATAACCTCCTGTCTCCTTGTGCTTCCTTCCAGAATGCAACTGCAACAAGCATGCCCGCCAGTGCCGCTTCAACATGGAGATCTTCCGGCTCTCGCAGGGCGTCTCCGGTGGCGTCTGCCAGAATTGCCGCCACTCGACCACGGGTCGCAATTGTCACCAGTGCAAGGAGGGCTTCTACAGGGATCCCACCAAGCCCCTAACCCACAGGAAGGTCTGCAAGGGTAAGTCTAAAAAGATTTCTTTCCACAAACAAAAAATACAAAACAAATAAATTAATATCGATGCAAACTCTCGATCTCGAAGGGATCGCAAAATCGGAAGAGATTAAGGCACAATTTACAATAATTAGCTCGCTGGGGAAGTCCAACTGGGCCATTCTTCTTCTTCTTGACCCCCTTTTAGAGCAACCCCCCAGGGGAGAACCCTTTGCCGTCCCCAGGCGACCTTCGAGTGTGTGTGTGTGTGTGTGTGTTGTTTGTACTGTAATTTATGACCACGATAAATTCACACGTTCCAATCGAAACAACGAAAAGGAAACGCAGCCAAGACGGTAGAAAGCGGGGGGAACTCGACCATGGGATACCGTGTAAATGGAATTGAGTTAAGCCTTGGATTTGGATTTTTTATTTGAAATAGTTATATATAAATTGTGTATATTATGGCAAACAGGAAGGTGGAAGGTTACCTAACTTAAATTTATTTAATTTAAATATATTTATTATTTAGAGCATCAAAAAGTATACTTTTAAAATCTTTAGAGCTCTAAATAAAGCCTTAAAAATAACATTAAATCAAAATAAATAAAGCAAAATAAATATTTATTAAACAAATAATTAAATATCCAAAGATATCGGTATCTAATGACTTTTTGCTATCCCTAGATGCATTATTTCCTATATAATTAAGCGATATATCCTCTCTAAATAACTCTTTTTTAATTTATCACCCAAACCCGATAAATATCCACATTTTCCTGTATGCCCAAATGAATTGTTGCTTTAACAAAAAGCTATATATCCCCTCTTAACTCCCTCTGCACCTGTACTTTCAGTACTTAAACCAGTTTACTTCCTTATAAGATATATTATAACAATCACACAGCAAAAACAACACTCTTACTTCATAGATTTATAGATCGTTTCCTCTATTTATAGAACACACATCGTAGACAACTCACCCAAAAACGCTCTAAAATATCAACAATTTATTGGGCAAGTTTCCATCAGTGAAATCGTAAATATTACTATCCAAAATGGGGTATTAATTTGTAGAGAGACCCGCGGATGTGGGTTATAAATCGGATACACACACTCACAAACACACACAGCTAATACCCTCATCCCCCGACACGAATTTATAGCCGGCAATCATTTTCATTGGCAAACAATCAAATCAGGTGGACCACATGGCTAAAATCTGAACCGAATCGCCCGACTATTTATAGAGGCAACGCGCATACTATATATACTATATGTATATACTATATATACCTTTCGTACATCCCGCTGGGAATTCGCATTCGAAAAATTTATACCTAATTGCAGAGCGTTGAATCGTAAACAAAAACAAAGCGCCGGACATGTGGGAGGGAGGAAGGGGGGTTAGGTGGGTCGTTTGTCATGACTGACCGCCTCTCGGCTGACTAAGCATCATAATTCTCGGACCCGCTCAGCCGGAGCCGTTAAATCCAAATCAAAATCTTATCGATTTTTAATTAATTATCCCCGACAAAGTCGCAGTCGTAAATAAGGCGAGTTGAAACCACTTGCAAATCGCAGAGACAAAAGGCACCGCCGTTGTCGCTCCTGCGACAATTTTTAAGCTTAATCGCGGCATTAAAAAATTTATGCGTTTTCATTTTGACACGCTTTGCAATTTGTTAAGAAAGATTTTTACATGGAGCACAGTTGCCGGCATTGTTTTCAGTTGTTTCGTTTGTCGTCAGAATGTTTTACGTCATGTTTGCCATTTGCCAAATGCTCAACTTGACTGGGAGTCCCCTCTCCCAAAGCACAGCACACACATTTCCCTGCCTTTCCATACTTTCAATTAGTCAACCGAAATTGCTGGGGGGAAAATCTGAGGAAAATCTGGGCACAGACTTTCATCCAGCTGATGTCGCAGGACCTCTATGTGGCCTGCTCTTGATGATTTATTCGTTTCATCTCCAGCATGCACATTTTTCATAACATATATTCATCCTCCCGCAGACTTGGAATAAATTCCAAATAATTTCACATTACTAATGGCATTTTGCCGGAGACAGCCCGTCGGTTTTGGGCTTGATTGAATGTCCAAAAGCATTTCGTAGATTTAAATATACAAATTCAAAATTTATTTAGGCATTTTGGAAAGAGTTTTTCAGGGTATATATAATATAGAAATATACTTTAATGGGTATATATCTAGATATTAAATAATTCTAATTCTTTAAAATAGAAACATATTTGAATGAGTGTATATATATTTATAAAATAATTATAAACACAATTAAATGATTGCCTCAACAATAAATATTCCATTGAAATATTTATTTCTCTTGGCTTCTCAACAGCTTAACAGCCTCTTTTCCCCACCATATATGTTTATAGCTGTATATATATAGTATTTTATGTACCTTTTGCCAATCAAAATTATATTGCACACACACGCTTTATCCCCGCAACCAAAAAGCTCGCATGTCTCGCATTATAATTAACGCCTTAAAGTCATTCCGATTGCCGGTTAGAATGGAAAAGATTAGGCGAGTCCAGAGGAGGGGCAACTTCCGCAAAAGCATGAGTGGTGCACTGAGAGAAATTGGATATAACTAATTGAAAAAAAAATAGATATATATATATATTAAATCAATTATTTAAATGGAAATATATAAAGAATAAGAATATAATGACTACTCTAGTTTCTGTACATTTTTAAGAATTAAAGAAGACTAATTCACACTCTTTTCTTTGTCTGTATTTGTAAAGTGGTAGTTGATTTTGAAGTTGATTTAATTTAAATATTAAAATGATTTACTTGAGCCAGGCCAAGTCGAGTCAAATGGAGCAGCAGACGCTTGCCAAAGCCATAATTCATAGCTCAGACAGGGAGTTAAGGAGGGAATTGGGAACAGGAATAGGAGCTGGCATCCGGATACAGAAACACAGATACAGTTACAACTACAGATACAGATACAGTTCAAGATACAACTACAGATACATCTCCATATACAGATACATGAAAGTGTTGGCAAAGCCATTTGCTCAGTCAATTTCCTTATTTGTGCAAATGTTTCAATGACCGGAAAATTACATATTATTATTTGTCCGATGAGAGAGAGGATCCAGATCCAGGCCCTTAAACGAATCATTATTCATACACTTGTTGTTGGTTGTTCTCGGCTGTCTGTGCAGAGTCCTTTCGATAATTAAAATCCGAAACCCAACGCGCTCTGCAACCCCAAAATGTATGCTCTTGGCCCTTTTGCCTTATTGCCTTGCTTGACATCATTAAATTTGCATGCCACACACACACAACGACAATAATAAAAACAAAAACAGCGCCTGCAAATCGAATTCAGAGTGCCCTGTAAATAATTAATGGGTACATGAATTTTTTGTAAACTCCATTTCGACAGCAACAAATCAAATAGAAGCTTTTTAAATGCTTTAAAAGTCAACTATTGGGGATTTAAAAATTGGACTGTTTATGTTTTCAAACTTTTGTAGTAGTTTTAGAGCAATTAATTGATTTAATTTGAATTTAAAATTGGAAATTTATGGAAGGAATAACTGATTTTACAAATAAAATAGCTTTGACTTGGAAAATTACGTTAAATTTACCAACAAAATAATAATTAAAATATAATATAGTAATAATATTAAAATATAATATAAATTAAAGTAATATTCGGTGAATAGTGAGCGTGAAAGGTAAAACTACTTTAATCTCGAGTTACTTTTCAGTTATAATGTGTCAAAGACTCTTAAAATAATAATTTAAATAAATTTTACAATTGAAGGTCTTTAAAATAATTTAATACTTAACAATTTAATACAGTTCTTTATTAACTAAAACTGATAGATACCCAAAAGGAGTTGCAAGCTCCCACTAAAAACACCTTGAAGTCAAAGAGAACTCAGCTCCATGTGCTCCGAATGGCCAGTGATCTGCCTTCAGACAATTACACAACCAAAATGTCCTTGTTGAGGGCCCATACACTGCCATTATCATATCTTTTCGCTCCATCGGCCACTAATTAGGGTATACAATTGACTGCTGCGCCTTCGACAATTGTTTTCCACTGGCCACTGAGAGCACAAGGCGTGTCATCTGTGACAAAGGACCCCGAGTCCTGTCAATTGGGGGCCTCATAACCGAGAGGGCGAATACAATTAACATTATCCGTAACTAAATACGTGAAATTAAAAGCCATAAAATCCGAAAGTCACGTGCGAAATGTTACAGCAATAACACGACAGCGGGAGCGGCAATTAAAATAATGCCACACACACGTAGCAAAAGTTTCTTTATTGCCCAAAGTTCATGAATGTCCTGGCTGGGAATGAGGGGCGGGAGGGGAGGACATTGCCTTTGAACATCATTAGAATTTCATAAAAATGTGCGTTAGTGCAACTGTGCCGTGGCGGGGACGTTAAAGGTTAAAGGCATACCGAAGGGTGGCAACTTAATTGAAATCCGGAAAATGCATTTATCATAGCCTAAGCCAAGGTGGTTTTTATGAAAAACTAAGCTGGGGAAATATCTATTATCCAGTTCTAGCCTTTGGGCTTCCCCAAAACTCTAAACTAAGCGCCGTGACAAATTTTTGTGCTGGCAAAGCCATAAAAGTTCAGGCCCTAAGCTTAGGCAATTTCCAAACATTTTTTGACACGGCCAAAACAACAACAGCAGCCCAAAAGCCAAACCAAAAAAAAAGGAAAGAAAAAAGAAAATGATAGAAAAGATATGAGATGCGTTCTATATTTTTTTATTCGAGGGGGGAGTTTGTACCACAACGAATCGGAAATGCCCTTGGAATTTCTGTTTATTTGGTAAGACCACAATTCGATTTGCACTCGTTTTGAAATTTGGGAAATTCTGGAATTTAGAGCAGGGAGTTTGGAGCTGTCACAGGTTGATTTATAGTGGAATTTTTGGGTTTTATATAAGGGATAAGGGGTTAGTTTTGTGGAGTTTTTAGTTGTGGGAGAATTTGGTTTAACAAATTGGAAATAGTTTG